CACGGCTGTGCAGGTGGAAAGATACAACTGCGGCTGAAATGTATTTATTCTTTGGCACTGTCATACTTATGCCACACACGTATAAGAACAATATAGCACACTACTGGTCCACAGATCACTTCATCAGTACTCCAGTCTTCTATGACCTCCTTCCTTGCAACAGATACACTCTGTTGCTACAAATGTTGCACTTCTCAGACAGGAATACACCAAACTGAAATGACCTCCTATACAAAATCAGGGAATTGTTTATGTATCTGAAGCAAAAATTCAGTGCCTACTTTTATCCATTTAAGAACACTGTTGTTGGCGAGTCCTTGATAATTGCTTTGGTATAAAACTCTGTTATGTGTGACTGTGAGACTGTTGGATGTCATTATCTACACAAGGAAAAACACACTCGATGATACAAGGTGCATACTGGGCATTTCTGGGGATGCTGTTCGCAAGATGATACAGCCATACCTTGGCAAGGGTCAAACATTGTTCACAGACAACTGGTATACAAGCCCTATGCTTGCTGATTTCATACGTGTGAAGAATACTGATATATGTGGAACAGTGAGAAGAAGTAGAAAACTCATGCCAAGGTTCACTGGAGGAAGTGTAGTGCAAGCATTTCATGCCAATGACATAATGGCACTGATGTGGCATGACAAACGGGATGTGATGTTGCTGTCAACCATCCACAGAAACGAGGTGGTACAAACAGACAGACTGAGCAAGCACAACAATAAACCTATTGTAAAGCCAGCCGTTGTCGTCGACTATACGAACAATATGCGACTAGTCGACAAGTGTGACATGATGATAGGGTTTGTTGACTGTGTGCATAGGAGTCACAAGTGGTACAGTAAAGTGTTTTTCCACCTTGTGGACATTGTAATGCTCAATGCCTTCAACATGCACGAAATAAAGAGAGGGAAGCAACAACGATATGCAGAATTCACCCTCAATGTCATCAAGCAGATAGCGAAAAAGTATGGTACCACACCTATACCTGCCACTCCACAGTGATCTGTGGCTACATTCTCACTACTACTACTACTCTGCACCTCTCCTTCCGACAGTATTTAAGTCTCTGCACTGTCGCTTGGTCTTCAGATAGTTCCTGACTATGGAACTGAACTTTTCCAGGCTGAGGGACTGACAACCTCAAATTCTACGACTTCAAGGGTGATGGACTGATTACATCGTCTTCACATCTCTACTGTTCCTGCCTACTTTCTGTTTTCGACTGAAGAAGCCTACTGTGTAGGCGAAACGTTTCGGAATAAAGTTGTCTAACTGTTGCATATGTGTCTTACCTAACAACAAATTTTGAGTAGTATTATATACAGTCTCTTAGGTGGTTGTAAATATAAATTTAGGAGTTACAGTGAATACAAGAGAATTGAATTATCCTATTAGCATGTGCTATATGGCTTTTATCAGGATTAATTTTTAACCCTTAAACGGTCCAACCGTATATATACGGTTGAAAAAAAAAAATCATTTTTTATAGAAAAAAAGAGCACATTGTGCTTTTATTATTCCTGAATCCAAACTGACAAAGGTTTAATATGCTGTGTGAGACGAGGTAGGAATAGATCCGTCTACGAATTAATTTTTCAAAGATTTTAGAGAGCAGTGGTAAGTTAGATATTGATCTATAGTTAGTCAAGTCAGCTTGGTCACCTCCTTTATGGATCGGAGTGACCCTTGCTATTTTGAGGATTGTTGGGAAGGTAGATGATTCAATGGATTTGTTAAAGAGTGTTGCAATAATTGGTGACAATACTTGAGAAGCTTTTTTTGTACATAAAACCAGGCAAGTTGTTTATGTCTCCTGCTTTGTTTTTAAGGGTGTTGATGATGAGCGAGACTTCTGGTGGGTTGGTTGGAGCTAGGAATAGTGTATTTGGGTAGTTACCTATGAGGTAGTCTGATGGATGGGTGTTGGAGCTTGGTATTTTGTTCGCTAGATTTTTTCCTATGGTGGAGAAGAAAACATTGAGTCTGTTTGCTGTTTCAGTTGGTGTGAGTAGGGGTTCGTCTGATTTTGTTAATTTGATTGTTTCGTTTTTGGATAACTGTTTAGTTCCAAGAATTTCAGATAAGTGATCTGGAATGCATAATATGACACTAAGCAAGGCATACAAAATAAAAAGGAACAGTTTTAGAAGTTTCTAAGAGTCTGACCTACCACAGATCATACATTGTGACAAATTGCTAACGAAACAAAACAAAAAATTTATTTCTATAAAGTGGAGTGCTGTATATTATGCAATTAGGGTAACTGGCATATATAAACTTGTATGCAGAAAGCCCCTTTATTATGCAAGACATTTCAGGAAGCCTTAAAACTAAATTATGAATACTAGTACAGCCTCTCCTCACTTAGCGTCATACTCGTTTACTGACACCTCGGACTTACGACAGGCTCTCTGACCAGTATTTATACCTAAATAATGTATATTAGAGCAGATTTCCTCTATTCTGTTTATTTCAATATACAGTACACTACTGTATAAACATTTAAAAATACACGTATACCAGAAATGTTATAAATGGTGCAAAGGTGACATTAAAACAATATCAAAGATGGTTGACACAAACTCACTACCATTATAGTATGCTCCTCACTTAGTGACGAATTCATTTAACGACACGATCTTAGGAACGGAACTCCATCATTAAGTGAGGAGAGGCTGTATACGAGAATTAGAATACACCTACCATCCGACTTACGACTGAGTTCGGTTCCGAGAAACCGGTCGTAAGTCGAAATGGTCGTAAGCCGAACTTTACTACTGAATATCAACAAAGCATTTTTGTAATGACTTTGTTTTATTTTGGTATTTCATGTTTTACTTTACTTTTCATGTTGTTAGTACTGTATTTTATACTGTAAGGTTTAGGATAAACACTGTGTACAACACAAATAGTTGTTTATTTCCCAGAAATTTGGCATAAAAAACACGGTCGTAAGTCGAGTGGTCGTAAGTCGAGCAGGTCATAAGTCGGATGGTAGGTGTACTTAGTTTTTAATATTAGAGGTATTTAGTAATTTAATAACAAAAAAATTCTAACTAGATACACGAGTTGAAGGAATGATACAAAGACTGTGATCAGACAGAAATGTACAAAACACATTCCACAAGGTGAGTTTGGAATAAAGGGTCCTTGTTTTGAGTGTAGCTAGTTATAATAATAATAATAATATCTTCATTTCTATAAGTACACATACTACTATATAGCCCATTGTTATGCAGAGCATTTCGGGCAAATTAAGTCAGTTTTGCCCCAGGATGTGATCCACACCAGCTGACTAATACCCAGGTACCCATTTTACTGATAAGTGAACATGAACAGCAGGTGTTTTGTGGAAACACATCCTAGTGGTTCCAGCTGTACCGATGAATTGACCCCCAGACCTCAGTGTGTGAGATGAGTGCGCTAGGGATCGAGCGAGCTGTGAGAAAGCTGTAAATGCAAAGAAAAAAATGTTTTGGAGAGAAGAAAACCAAGATATGAGTTGTCTATGAGTTATATACCATCTGCCATGCATTAACAACTCATCTTATTCTGCAGCTACAGTCTCACCTGATTTCCTCTATAACCTTCCCATCTGTCATATGTGACTATGTGACTTGGCATTAGGGTCAGCAGGAGAAATTTCTTATTAAAAGACTTGAAAGTGAGAGGAGAGAAAAGAGAGAAGAGAAACAAAGGAGACAAGAAAGAGAAAAGCAAGAAATAAGAAGAGAATGAGTGAGCACGTGTGTATGTGACTTGTGATATGCGAGTGTGAGTGTGCATGCTTACACACATGAGAGGGAGGCTTATTTTATTGGAAATGTGAGATATTATTGCCTGCTGCTTAAATCTGTACTCCAAAATTAAGCAGAAATTATTTATGTGCAAGAGGGACTACTCTACTATACTAAAATTTCAATTGATTACGTATTTCATTTCCCATTACACTCAGCAACTGCAATTCAAACTCATCTGCAAATTTTACTGTATTTTAATGCAGCATTAAGTGTCATGTTTATATAATACAGAATCACATGGAACCTCACAGGTTTATTTGTTACATTGCTTGTCACTAACATGTGCCCTGGTTTCTGGAGAACCAGGCAATGTCATTTATTCTCATGGAGGACAAGTTGGACTTCAAGAAGGTGGGACTCTAGAGTACATAAGCAGTAAGAATGGACCCAGTACAATACTGTGAATGAAGAGGTTTGTAAAAGATTTAGAAACCATGACACAAGAATTCATGACATACTGCACTACAATACATGAGCAATTATAGTTATATTTATAAGGAAGCACTAAACCCTAAGGGTCATACAGCACTTGGGAATGGAACAGGTGAAGATCACCAAATTTAATCTCGGGAGGGAGAGAATTGCTTCAATTCTTACCTGGAGTTTACCTGGAGAGAGTTCCGGGGGTCAACGCCCCCGCGGCCTGGTCTGTGACCAGGCCTCACCAAGAGCCTTCACCAGCATCAAAGCATTAAGGTGAAAAAGTTACAAAGGAATGAACTATGGATTTTGAAGAGCACTGGGTCAAAATGGGTGTTCGCTGCTCTACACCATAAAAAATAAATGCATCTGTACTTAAAGCTATACAAATTAAAATCCCATCAAAAACAAAAAAAAAAAAAAAAAAAAAAAGTCATGCCGACAATAAAGCAAATACCATCACTCAAGTTAGAAAACTGCACATCCTTTAAAAATCCTGTCATTGAACACACACTATTGCCTCAGCATGCATTTGCAGTCAGGTGAACGTGTGGAAAAAAAGGAATACCAGTTTTCGTCCCTCCACAGCAGCAAATAACAAGGTCTTGCACGATAAGAGTTTAAGAGTTACAATAATGACTGCATCGACGAAGAGGAGCTATACTATGGATATGTGTTGTACACATCAGAATACTTTAGGTAAATTTGGTACATGCAAGATAACAAATGTAATTTTTGCTGGTATAGTAATTACTTATCAATTACCTTGAACTGTACAGGAGCATCCATGTTGCAGAACAAGGGGAACTTTTTGTACTGCCGACTGACAACAGGACCGGTAGTAGTCAGCTGAAGCCTTTAGTAGGAAATGGTAATATGTCCTCAGTCAATCAAACACTTAATCTGAAGTTCAACCTTAACCTAATCTTGGGGTTCCATGTTTATTACCCCTGCAAAAGCAAAAAAAAAAAATGCCTTAGTCCATACAATTAGATGTACGTACTAATTTCTCTTACAGAATTCATACTGAAATTCTCTAACTGTACATGTACTTTTTTTTTTTTGGTACTTCTATCAGAGGTTATAGTAGAATTAGTACTGAAAGAGTTGAGGTAAGACACAGTAGGAATGCAGAGGAGCAAGAATGATTTAGGAAGGACAGGTGATTTCAGATATTTGGGAGTTGACATGTCAGCGGATGGATTTATGAAGGATGAGGTTAATCACAGAATTGATGAGGGAAAAAAGGTGAGTGGTGCATTGAGGTATATGTGGAGACAAAAAATGTTATCTATGGAGGCAAAGAAGGGAATGTATGAAAGTATAGTAGTACCAACACTCTTATATGGGTGTGAAGCTTGGGTTGTAAATGCTGCAGGCAGGAGGCGGTTGGAGGCAGTGGAGATGTCCTGTCTAAGGGTAATGTGTTGTGTAAATATTATGCAGAAAATTCGGAGTGTGGAAATTAGGAGAAGGTGTGGAGTTAACCCTTTCAGGGTCCAGAGGCCAAATTTCAAAGGGTGCACCAGTGTCCAAGAATTTTCAAAAAAAAAATTTGTTATTTTTTTCTTATGAAATGGTAGAGAATCTTTTTCTGAAGGTAATAAAACAAAAAGTACGAAATTTGATGGAAAATTGACAAAATTATGCTCTCGCGAATTTTGACGTGTCAGCAATATTTACGAATTGGTGAGTTTGCCGAATTTGACTCCGATTTTAGGCTAATTACATTATTCCAGTCGACCAAATTCTTAGCTATTTCACTAGTATTACTTCCATTTTATCGACTGAGCACAAGAAATCGCCCAGTCAATTGTTTCAACTACAAAATAAAGTGATCGGAAATTGGTAATTTGGCCAATTTAACACAAAGTTCAAAATATTCCAATTTCAAAATAGGGTCCAGAATAAACAATGCAGGCATTCCTGGCACTAAACTAACATTTCCTCTGCTCATTAGTTATGTTTTCAGGCTTAACAAATGAATTCCATTTTGATTTTTTTATTCACATAATGAATTTTTATTCAAACCAAAAAATAGAACATTTACTGTTATACAATATTGTAATAATTATATAAATATCATCATCACATTTGTGAATGTATATTAGACCCACCAGCTGGCGTGTATTAGACGTGTGAGGTCGTTTGTGTACTCTTGAACATCGACAAAAATTTAACATTTCCTCTTCTTTGAGCTCAGTTTCAAGCCATTTCCAGTACTAAAACCCATCAAAATCATCTCTACTTCTGTAATATATCTTCCATTCTATCAAATGAGACCAAGAAATCTCAAATACAACTATAAAAAACATATGAAAAAACACTGCAGTCGCTGTTTTAATCGAAAATCACGGTCTCAGTTTTTTTTCTCTCATTATACACTGTGTGCTGCAGGATTTGTGTCATGTCGTGCACACATACCACACAGATGTATTCTTTCATATCTAGGCCCAAATTTACCACTCACAGCTTATCAGAGTGAGCCGAGCTCATGGCGTAGATCTACGGTTTGAACCCTGAACGTAAACCCGTAGATCTACAGGACAGACCCTGAAAGGGTTAATAAAAGTATTAGTAAGAGGGCTGAAGAGGGGTTGTTGAGGTGGTTTGGTTATTTAGAGAGAATGGATCAAAGTAGAATGACATGGAGAGTGTATAAATCTGTAGGGGAAGGAAGGCGGGGTAGGGGTCGTCCTCGAAAAGGTTGGAGGGAGGGGGTAAAGGTTTTGTGGGCGAGGGGCTTGGACTTCCAGCAAGCGTGCGTGAGCGTGTTAGGAGTGAATGGAGACGAATGGTATTTGGGACCTGACGAGCTGTTGGAGTGTGAGCAGGGTAATATTTAGTGAAGGGATTCAAGGAAACCGGTTATTTTATACAGCCAGACTTGAGTCCTGGAAATGAGAAGTACAATGCCTGCACTTTAAAGGAGGGGTTTGGGATATTGGCAGTTTGGAGGGATATGTTGTGTATCTATATACATACGTATATACATATACTTCTAAACTGTTGTATTCTGAGCACCTCTGCAAAAACATTGATTATGTGTGAGTGAGGTGAAAGTGTTGAATGATGATGAAAGTATTTTTTTGTTGGGGATTATCTTTCTTTTTGGGTCACCCTGCCTAGGTGGGAGACGGCCGACTTGTTAAAAAAAAAAAAAAAAAGGTGATTTGTAGATCAAGTGTTTATATTGAAGTACGTATAAGTAAACAATATTTAACTAAAGGTTAGGAATGGTTTTGCATTTATGGGTTGAGGAACAGCATATGATAGGGTGGAAAGGAAAGCAATGTGGCAGATGATGCAAATGTGTAGAATAGGTAGTAGGTTACTAAAAGTAGTAAAAAGTTTTATATAGATAGTGTGGCTCAGGTAAGGGTATGTAGAAGGAACTATTTCCCAGTGAAAGGAGCCTGCTCTTAGAATGATGTCCCCATAGTTGTTTAATTTATAGATAAGGTTGTAAAAGAAGTGAATGTTACGATATTGTGGAAAGGTGTGGGATTAAAATAATGAATCTGATTCAAAGTGGAACTTATCACAGTTCCTGATCAAATCAAATCAAGTTTATTCTCTATAAAGATTACAATGCAGGGTTTACATACTATAGGATATTGTGTGATTTACATTTTATAAAATACTAATTACAGAGAGGGCCACTATCACACCTAGCATGACTAGGCATTTCAGGCAAACTAAGATTAATTCAAAAGTCTATATTGGTACAGATTATGGAGCATATTGGTATTAAGGCTAAGTAACTGCATTACAGTTTGTTAATTTAGCAATGTGAATGGTTTTGTTTTGGTTGCAAAAGTTAGTGGAAGAATTTGGGAGATTTGTAAGAGGAGGAAAATAAAAATAAACATAGAAAATAGCAAGGTGACAAAAATAACAAAAAGTATAGGCAATGAATGATTGGATATCAGAATGGAGGGCATCAGATATCTGGGAGTGGACATCAGTAGATGGGCTAACGAAAGACAAGATGAATCATAGAATAAACAAGGTAGGTCAGATACTGAAGCATCTGTGGAAAAAAAAAGGTTATCTCTGGAGGCAAAATAGCAGATGTTCAGAGTACAGGTCCGCCATCACAAATCCAGCAATCAGTTATTTGGTTCCTTCAGTTATTCGGCACTAATTTTGGCTAGCATAATTTCAAATTTCCAGGGTCGCCACACCAACCTGCTGCTACCATCTGGTGGCACTACTTGCTGCATAAGTCATTCCAATTTCTTTTTCTCCATTTATTGTTTTAACCTGCTTACTTTTAGCCCTAGCCATGGTTCCAATGAATAAAAGAAATGCTTCTCATTATGTATAGCACCTACACAGTACATTATCCATTAAAGATAAGGTGGCTTTGAAGCCACTGTCGGTTGCCATGAGCTCAGTCTCATGATGCAGGAGAATATGCTTTATTATTACGCTAATATCAACACCACAGCTTATTTGCCTATCACAACTGATCTAATATGACATAATAAACAATATAAATAACAAAACATGTTAAATACTCCAGAATAAATAATATTTGGCATAACACTGAGCAGTTCGATGGAGGTATGAAGAGGATATGGTATACAAATACAGTGGTCCCTCAATAATCGTCCATAATCCGTTCCTGGAAGTGGGACTATTATCAAAATAGTCGATTTTCGAATCAATTTTCCCCATAAGAAATAATGTAAATGCAATTAATCCGTCCCTGACACCCAGAAGTATTCAAACAAAAAAAACTTTTATATGAAATATACATGTACATAAACAACACAATGGCACATGATGAATGAAACATTAACAGAATAACACTTACCTCTATTGGCGATTCTTCTTAGTGTATGGAAGACTGGAGAAGGAGACAGATTGGATTATTTACTGTTTGGAAGGGGAATCCCCTTCCATCAACACCTCAGGTACCAATTGCTTTTCTGGGGTTACTTCTCTTCTCTGTTTCTTAATGCCACTAGGACCAGCTTGAGAGTCACTGGAGTCCTGTCTCACAAAAAAACTGTCCAGAATGCTCTGTTTCTGGCGTCTCTTTAAAACTTCCCTAAAATGGGCCAAGACTCTGTCACTGTACAAGTTGCCGAAGTGGCTTGCAACATCCTTCTCAGGGTATGTTTCTCCATAAATCTTTCCATCCTACCAAACATTTCAAAAATCTCCTTAATTTCTGAAGGCGGCACCTTCTTCCATCTCTCTTCCTCCTCCTCTGCAGCAAGATTGTGAGCTGCGATCTGTTGCTCTTCCTGCTGAAGCTCTTGCAGCTCCTCAGTGGTTAGCTCTTCACTGTGGTCCTCCACCAACTCTTCCACATCCTCCAAACTCACATCCAACCCCCATGGAACTCCCCAGTGCGACAATAGAGTTCACAACTGACAGACTCATCAGGGGCTGCCTCAAACCCTTCAAAATCCCTCTTGTGGACACAATCTGGCCACAATTTTCTCCAAGCAGAGTTCAAAGTCCTGGTAGTCACTCCCTCCCAAGTCTTACCTATAAGGCTTATGCAATGCAGAATACTGAAGTGTTCTTTCCAAAAATCTCTAAGGGTCAAGTGAGTGTCTGAGGTCACATTAAAGCACCTTTCAAACATTGCTTTGGTGTAGAGTTTTTAAAGTTTGAAATGACTTGCAGGTCCATGGGCTGGAGGAGAGGAGTGGTATTTGGGGGCAAGAACTTTACTGTGATGAACCCAAACTCCTTCAGAATTAGGTCATCCAAGTTTGGAGGATGAGCAGGTGCATTTTCCATTACTAGGAGGCACTTGAGATCCAATTTCTTTTCCAGGAGGTAATTCTTCACACAAGGGCCAAACACTTCATTGAACCACTCGACAAAAATGTCCCTTGTGACCCATGCTTTATTATTAGATCTCCAAAACACACACAATTTACTCTTCATAACATTGTTTTTCTTGAACACTCTGGGATTTTCAGAA